TTCAGATAGGGCGTAGTGATGACATAATATACTACTATTATCCGTTTGAATCGAGTGTAATGACAACATGTTATATTACTATTATCCGTTTGAATCGAGTGTAACGACAACATGTTATATTACTATTATCAGTTTGAATCGATTGTAGTGTTGACATAATATACTAATATTATCCGTTTTAAATCAAGCGTAGCGACATAATATATTACTATTATCCGTTTGAGTCGAGCGTAGCGACAACATAACATATTACTATTATCCGTTTGAGTCGAGCGTAGTGATGACATAATATATTACTATTATCCGTTTGAGTCGAGCGAAGTGACGAAATAATATATTACTATTATCCTTTTGAGTCGAGCGTAGCGAAGACATAATGTATCACTATTATCCGTTTGAGTCGAGTATAACGTAATGTAAATATTATCTATGAGTATTTAACAAAATAACGGCTATGTATAATGTTTTCCCAGAGAGTTGGCCAAAGTGATGACTAGATATAATGTTTTCCTATCAATGTGAGTCACTATAACAACTAGGCATAATATTATCTTTAAAAGTTGGGCAGAGTATCTACCGGGAAAAATATGATCCTAATGTTATGATTATAATTATCTAACTAATATAATATAATTAGTAATAATTAAGTAATAGTTGCATTTTAACATGTACCCCTCCCCCTCCTCCCCGCCCTGCGCGCGCGCGCGCGAAAAGGTTTACAAAATGGGGTCATGAACTCACCTGTGAGTTATGAAAACGTTGTTGTAGGGTGGAAACCAAAAATCAACACTTCGAGAGGCGCTCGGGGTATTGGCACGAGGATGGATAAATAGAGAGCGAGTGTGAGGGGCGAGGAAAATGATCTATCGAAGCTTGCTATTTATAGCAAGTTTTGGAGTGTGCGTCATGCAATGGGTGTCGAGCTTTTGCGCGTGGACCACATAGGCTGCCACGTGTCGCCCTCTCCTTGTGCCACATCATCAAGTATCCAAGCGTATCGAACTTTGAAAATCCGTAACTCTCGCATACAAACTTCTTCTTATTAAGAGCTTAATCCATAAGCTCTTTTGCCCATATTCCATATCTAACCTTAAAATAACGTCCTTAACCATAAAGTTTCCAACTTTATGGGCTTGCATGACAATTAAGTGCCCAAACACAATAACTCTAACTACTTAACCCATTAAGACACCCTATATCATGGGTGGAAGGAAACTAATAATCAAGACTACATTTTTATGCTTCCTAATAACTCTATAATGGATAAAGTTTCCAACTTTATCCATTTGAATTGTCCAAACAATCAAGATCTAGTCTTTAAGTCTCAAAGGGACCCAAAAGTGTATCTTTATCAACTTAATCCATTAAGTCCAAGTCTCCAACCTTCAGATCTAAACCAAAATGATGTTTAGATGGATAAAGTTTCCAACTTTATCCATAACAATGTCACACATTTTCAAGATCTAAACTGTATGCACTAAAATGACCAAAAGCTCATAACATCCAAAACTAGCTAGATCTAACAAATGCATCATCAAGATTCAAGCTTTATACTTCTAGAAGAAAGATCAAGGTGAACAAAGTATGTATCTACAAGCTCCAATGTAGCCAAAACCTCCACAATGAGCTCCTTCTTCTCCAAGATGCGCCAAGAACACTCCAAAGAACTTAAAAACACCTTCTTTTTGCTCACCGGGCTCAAACTAGAGTTAGGGTTTCAAGGGAGGGTGTTGGAGAGGTGGAGGCTGAGAATGGAATGGGTTTGGGGAAGTTAAGAAGCTTAAATAGGGCTCAAACCATGAATATAGGGTTTGGACACTAATCGTGTACGCCCAACATACTCCTGGTACGCTCAGTGTACTCAGCGATGCCCTAGTACGCCTAACGTACGCGGCTTAACCCAAAACCGTCCTAACTTCAACCGGTCATAACTTCTTCATTCCAACTCTGTTTTCGATGATACTTATATCCACAGAAAGGTACTGAAGAACCCCACAATATTATCTAGATATCTTGGACTAAAAACTTCACAAACAAAAATCCATATTTCATGCAAGAAGTCTGAAACATCACTTTTCCCGTTTTCCCCATTTGACTCTAACGCACACCAAGGGCATGGATCGCATAACCAATATTATCAACATACAATAGGGTCTAAACCCTATTCCCTTGAAGCCCAAGGCCTTTACATAGTCCCAAACTTCTTAATAGCATTTTCAATTATACATAGATTTTCTAGCTGTGTTTCAAATAGATGTTCGGAAATTTGAGGATTTTCCCACGGTAGGAAGTTTAAACCATTTTATATATGGTGACAGTAAATATATGTTTGAATTAAATAAATTTATTGTCATTCTCTAGTAGTTAAACAGACGTCACACATAATGAATGGATCGTTCGTTTTTTATCAAGTGCCATAACATATATAGACCTTGTTATATGGATTCTATTTCCACACTAATGATTTTTTTTGTAATACTTTCTATTGATTTAAGTATATGGATATATGTCGATCATAATTAGAATTAATGTTTTTTGTATGTAATAGAATTTATTTTCTAAATGGAAACGAAGTAGAACGAAAAAAAATACAAAAGTCTTTGAGACACCAAATAATGACACAATCATGAGTTATAAGATTTTCAACACAATAAAAAAACATGATAACTTTGTCGTATAAAATGTTAGACTGTTAGGTATGGGCAATGCCCACCAGGGCGTTTTTGGGAGTTATGACGCTCAACCCCTACCTCATCGTTTTTGAACGTTATACGCATGCGCGTTGATTCTCGTTACCACCACAACCTTCATTTAACATTGTTTCCTTCTTTTTCTCTAATAATGTCGTTGCCCACACCCAATGGTGGAGGGAGTAGGGGTCAGACAGATGCTAACCCCCCTGCAACTTGTCTAATGCTACCATACCTTTTGACAGATACCTCCATTTTGAATACCATCGTATATACTCACATATTGAAAAGAATGAAGGCAAATATATCTATACAAGTATTCAATTCTATTTCCTAATTATAAAACATATTTTTTACAAAAAAAAGGAAAAAAAATACATCTTAAATCTTTTAGAGGGATAATATGGTAACTGAAATTTCAAACAGTTTTAAAAAAATTTGAAAACCCCCGATCCACAGATAAAAAACAAGCTGAAAATCTTCCAAATAAACGCAAACCTTTTTCAAAGGGTTACAGTCATGCGTCATCGCCATTCTGAACCTCGATGTTCTAAAACAGTAGAGATCGTTTTCTAGCCTTACCATTTGATCATCGTTCAATATGGAGATCTGATCAAAACCATCATCTTACCTGAAGGCTCCGATTACGAGCTCTATAACCGAACCAACATCAATCGGATCTTAGATCCTAAACCCAGTAGCGTTTCCTTTAAGAATCTGCTTGTTGCTGTCCCATTCTCCTCTCCAAGAAAAAATACAGTCACCATTGAGGACGAATGCTCTGTAAGTTCTAACTCTTGATCTACAAATATTTTTCTTACAAGTCTTTTTAACTATGTGTGTCTGTGTGCATAGTTGAGAATTGGGGAAAGATTCAAAAAAAATGTAGATCAGATAAAAATATACAATTCCTGACAAAAAAGATATATGCAACTGAACCTAATGAACCAAACCTATGTATCTCATCTTTTCTTGTTTACTTTTTCTTTCTTTTACTTTTAATAATATCTATAATTCTTTTATTGTTTTAATCTTTTAGATGTAAGTTATAAGTTTTATGTGTTTAAGTATTAATATCTTACTTATTTCAAGGGTTTATAAACGAAAAGTTCTTGGTTTCCATTTGAACGAAAGAGATTAAATTTTTTGGTTTATATGATTATTATGGGAAAAAATTGTGATATGATTATTTAGAGCTTTGTTATATGGATGAATTTATTTTTTTTTGAATTTGTCCTTACTACATACACTAGTTTCACATTCTAGATCCAACACTAGATGTAAGCCACCTTATTATAGGATCCTGGCTCCGTCCCTGCCCACACCTACCAGCCTTACGATGTAAGTTTCATGATATTTTTTTTATAAGTTTGATGGTCTTAAATAACCTTTTTAAGTGTGTATCATGTGATACAAACATCTTAATAGTGTCGGCGAAAACATGGTTTATAGGTGTTTGAGTCGATATGTAATTAGGATTGATCAGGGTATATTGTTTGATTATGATTTTTAGGTTTTCTTATTCTATCGGGTTAGGATTATACATGATTTGGTAATATTTACAAACAAAATAATGAAAACAAGTAAACAACCTGGATCATTTTTTTTAAATCCGATTCAAATAATCAGTTTTGTAAACTAGATAAGTTTGATGAAAAGAGATAGACCGATTTGTCTGTATTACTCAAATAATGGTTAGGGTAATCAAATCAATTTTACGAAAACAACATATCGGCTACTTTTTTTTTCCGATACGGACTTTAGGGCCGGGTAACTTCATTGATATGTAATTATGTATATAGGTACACTGACTAAACCTTTACAAATAGTGGGTCATTTAAGTGTTGTTTGTTTTTTTGAAGCAAAAATTCATTAAATATGCGGACTACCTCTGCAACCCTCCGCAGCAGAAGAGGTGGACCAAACGGTTGTAGACTGTAATAAGAAACATGTTTGTTTTTTAAACATTTGCATGTTGTTGTAATTATTAAAAAATTAAAATAAACTGATTTTATATACAGAAAATAGTTTTTTAATATCGAAAATTTAATAATGTTTGAAATTTCAGCAAGATTTTATGATATATCAGAAAAAAGATAATGATATTTCAGCAAAAAATAATGATATTTCAGCAAAAATTATCATTATTTAATATAAAAAAACGGAAAAAAAAATAATTCAGCAAAAATGAACAAAAAAAAAACAAAAAAGAAAAGATAAAACAAGAATTTAGCAAGATTATAATCAATATTCATCAACATTTCAGCAAGAAAAAAGAAAAAGATGTTGGAAAATACAATACAAGTGTTGCTCCAAACAGAACACGTATAAAATTTTTTTACTTCGAAGACTTCTAAAAAACAAACAAATGCGAGATAAAAAGTGTTGTGCGTGTGTTGCGCCGCGCAACAATAAGAGATCTGAAAAAAAATTTATATAAAAAACAAACAGCACCTTAGATACGTTGCCAATTGGTGATATGTCCGAATGAAATCTTTTCAACTATTTTCTAAACTACCACATTCTAAAAATTTCCAAGACTTTTTTTTTATTATGAAAAGGCAAATAATATCAAGATTTTATTTTGGAAAAAGTCATTTAAAATTTGTAGAACCACCTATAAACCACCGAGCCAAAATCATACAACATAGTTTGACACAACTAATTTGTCAACAAAGTAGCAACATTGCTCGATACCTTGTCAATGAAATCTTTCACTTGGGCAAAAAGTTGTCCAGATTCAGGCAATTCCGGGAAGAGATAGAAAGCATGACACATGTTTGGATATTCAAACAAGTACACTTCTTTCCCTGACTCTTTCAGCCACTTATAGTACCTTTTTTGCCAGTCATATAAGGGGTCAAATCCCGCCACCACCACCATGGTCGCCGGAAAATCTACTTTTGATATGTCCACCGCGTTTGGGCCGCTAACGTTGCTGATTGGGTGGTCCCGATTGAACCCTTCTCCTTCCGGCAAAAACACCTTCCAAAACCAATCTGTTCGGTTTTTGGAAACAATCGGTGTTCCATCGAGTCGGGTCTCGGAATCCGTCTGCTCCTCGCCACCAAAGAACGGTTGAATTGCTACAACTCCGATCACCTTCAAACATGATGCAAGTTTTTATTACCAATAATGATGATTACAGAAACTGATAAAGACACTTGTTTTAACTCTAGTCAGTAACGTCAATATACAATCTCAGTATACCTTCAGTCGTCGGAAGTTGAATTCACAGGCTCGTTGAGCAACATGATGAGCCAAGTTTCCACCGGCGCTATCTCCAGCAATAAAGCAACGCAACAGATTCGCATTTTCCGGCAAAGATTTAGACTTGTTCTCTTCATCATCAAGGAACTTCAGAACATCAAAGCAGTCATTATGTTGGGCCGGATACCGATGCTCAGGCGTACGGCGGTAGTTCACAGACACAACAATGGCCGGTACTTTCCTCGCGAAGCGGCGGCACACCACATCGTACATTACGACATCAGGGGAGAGGAAAGCGAATCCACCTCCGTGAAAGAACACGATCACCGGGAGATCTTCACCGGCGTGTTGTGTAGGTACGTAGACACGAAACCAGAGGTTACGAGTCTCATCTACAACCACGTCATGTGATGCTACGCCGTTGACTGATTTTGAGGTTGGCGGAGTCCGGAAGTCGAGTAAGTTAAGAAGACCACGGTTGACAGTGCCGTTTTCCCGGGAACATGCGTTGGTGACGGCAGAGAAAAAAGAAATATGAATGCGTGTTTTCCATGGTAAGGAGAGTGACGGTTGTGGAGGTTTGGTTGTTGCCACCATTGACAAGAAATCAAAGAGAATTTGGTGTGATAAATGTGTACAACCTTGTGAGGAATAGGTGAGAGATTTATAGATGTATGATTCATTTGAGATGAAAATAATGATAATAAAATATATGCATTCTATTATATATTGCAATTTGCAAACATAAAAACATATATTGGGTACATAATTTAGACAGATTATTATTTTATATAAGTTCAAACAAGGTGGTTTCTACGTACTATTTAACATATTTCAATTTTGGATCACTGTAGAATTTTTCGTTTTTGTCTACCTTTGCTAAGATGAGAACCTTTAGAACTCTTCTTTTGCTTATAATATTATTATAAAATACAACTCTTTTGGTTCGTGAATTGTTTGTAACATTACATACCGTCGTTTATTGAAAATATTCTCCATGCTCGACAAAAACGTATTTTGTTTTTATCTATTCTATATAATCCTGCCTATTGAAAAAAACAAAGACAGGTTAGTTGTTTACAAAAGAAAGAATAAACTAAAAAATTGGTCTATTTGGTCTATGTATTTAACTTCCATTTATTTGCACCCGTTAACCTAAACATAAAACATGTGACCTTTAAGGGTATTTTTGTCATGTCATACTTCCTATTACCATCCTTTTAGTTAATTACATGTATTTGTAATTATCATCCCTACTACCATCATTCTTTATATATATTAAAAGTTTATTAGTATATTAAAATATGACTTCTCTATGAACAGTAACATGTTACTATTGGTCAAATTTATTATCTTTTTAGACATTCTATTTTCCCTTTTGTTTTTTATTTTTTCTATCATTTAATCATCTCATCTGTTGGAGAGCTTATTGTACACGTGCTCACATCGGGATATCGATTGTATACGTATTTCCCTTCCAATATTGTTGTGTTGTGCACCGATTAACTCTCTTTTTCACCGTTTCTCTTATCTTTTTTCTTCCATGGTGTTCGATTTTCTACTTACTTCCCACAACGCCTGTTCATCGCTCGCCTTAAACTGTCGGTCGTCGGTCGTCGTCAATCTCCCTCGAAGTCCAAGACGTTTGTTCCTGTTGTCGACCGTTCACCTCTTCTCCACTGTTTCTTCAACCACTTGCAACTTTAGTCCCTTAATATCTTCCAATTTATAATCGATGGGTTTTCTAGGGGTTTTCCACGTAAGGGTTTTATTCTCTACCGCCTTATCTCAAATCACTTTTCATTTCATCGATCGGTGATAAATCCGTTCAAAAATATGTTTCGTTGCTTCAAATCACCTTCTTCTATCGGTTTTGTAGGATAGGCTTAATCGATTTCTCCGATACCTAGAGCATGAGAGAAACAAACGCACACCGACATTGCTGCTGATCGAAAATAGGTCTAAAAATGGGGGAACAATCGGTGGTGGTTCGGGTAAACGACTACAGACCCTCATGGCCTTGTTGCTTTCTGTTTTCATTGCAATATTTTTATACTAATTAAAGTTCCTTTTCTTCAATCTAACCATGTTAGATTGAAGAAAAGATGAACTAATTCTTACAGCTATGAGATAACTTAATCACAAAAAGGATATGCCTAAACCTGAAAGAATTTATTTACTCTTTCAAAATTTCTTGACTTTTACTACCCAAAATAGTACATTCTTTGTGCAATTCACTTTGTTTGTTTACTTGCCCAATTGAACCATAATAGCAAAAAAGGGAAAGGTGGATGAGGAGGAGAACTCTATGGAAGAGTAGAGGCCAAAGAAAGACACTGCAAAGAGTTGTCTGGTGGCTGTTGGGTATAAGAGCTTCGAGACATATGTGCAGATATTTGATTACATCTTAAAGTTTCTTCACTTTTGGCCTCCAAATCTGAACGTCAATAAGGTATTTGGCTTAATTAATCCTGATTTTAAGTATATTATTTCATCAAGATTTTGTTCTCATATTACTTTCTTGGTTGATTCGATAAGAGAAACAAGATTATATTAGCAACTTTACTGGAAATCATATACTACCCTGTGGTGTCAATAACCACCTCGGGGAATAAATAACATTAAGAAATTAAAGCACCTGGACATGCCTGATACATCTACCCCTTTATTTATCTTATCAATCTGCTTATTTTTTATATGGTTTGTGATTACATTAATATTTATGTATTGGGTTTTGTTTTGAAAATTTATTTGGTCAGATTTTGGAAGAGTTTGGCTCACCCTTTATGTCCTATAAACTTCAATGTCTCAAGTTCCAGATGATGGGTAAGTTATATATCTTATTACATTTTCAAATAAACATGTCATATTGATGGGATCAATTTATTTATTTATTTATTTTAATGTTTTTGTCACATTTCTCGAGTAGACATGGTGAATTTTACTCAATGATAGTGTTCTATTCAGAATGAAATGCCCTCAATATCCTGATATAAAACTCAATGGTATGTTAGCTTTTGTCATTAGACTACTTGATTTTCATGCTTTATAGTTACAATTTTAAATTTTAAATTCCAGGTTGTTGATTTTCCAGGCATTCTTGTTAAGACAATTAATAGGCCTGGATCAAAGACATTTGGAGCCAATGGTCGTGATGATGGTCCATGATAGGAATTAGATAGTTAAATACTTAAAGGGGTAAAAGGGTAATTCCTAAATAGAGTTTGTTAGAGGTTTGCTAATAAATAGAGGGTAGGGTTGCTTTTGTTAGAGAGTGAGAAATATTTTAGATTGGTGTTAGTCTCTAGAGTGAGATTGGCTCATTGGTTAGGCCTTTGAGAGAGGGATTCATCCCTGGGCAATCATCCTATCTGGAGATTGTATCTTTATCTTGTTTCATTCAATCATCAATATCAATTCCAGTTTTCTCTATCAATCATCCATTGTTGTTTGTTCTGTTTCAATTCTTCATCATTAGTCCGACCTGCCTTGACCTGCCGGAGTTGAGTAACGATGGTGCCACTAGTGGTGGACACTAGATCCGTCTCTCAGCGACTGGATCATCATGATAAGCAAATAACAAGGATTCATGAAGACATTGAGGAAATCAGGACCGCTATGGCCTCAATCCGGACCGCTATGGCCTCAGAACGGGCAGAAGAGGCTGCGTTTCGTGAAGTAATGCTGGATTGGATGAAGCAACAGGATCCAGAGTTCTTCTCAGATATTAGCATTGTTTCCGATCCGACTGGGAAATTACCAGCGTCGGTGGTTGATGATGCTTTTAGGGATACGTCCGGCATGGTTAGCGGTTTCCAATCTCATCCTACTTCCGGTGTCGTTTCGGTTGCATCGATGGGATTGCCTTCGGTGGAGAAGAAGATCAAGCTAAATTACCAAAATTCGTCTTCTAGAGTTCCAGATTCTCATGTACTTCTCCGGTCACCCCTGTACCTATGAGGGAAGGTTCGTTGTGTTTCTCTGGTTGCAATTCCACTCCGAAGTCATCAAAGGTGGTGGAGAGCTTGCCATGGAAAGCGAATAGGAACGGTTATGAGCAGCTGGACACGATCAAACAATCATCGCCGGTTTATGAGTCTGCGATACACTTGTTAACCTTCTCCGATCCGAAACCAGAGGGGGGGGGGAATTAGGGTCCGACTAAATCTTCAACGACGGGAGCAACTTACGAGCATCGTCCAAGTGTACTTCCGATCAGGACATTGACGGAGTGCAAAGGGAGCTTCACGGAGATAACGGCTCCGTTAAATGATGGATGGGAGGAGGGTTATTTAGGTCGACACAATAATGGGCTTAAAAATGACAAGTGGGCTGGAATTATATCTTTGGGCCAATCTAATCTGAATCGGACAATGGGTTTATCTAATCAGGAGAAAGCAAGCCCTAGTGAATCTAAAACAACGGTCACACATTTACCCCTTTCATTGCTACCTACGTATTCATCATTTTTAATTTCACCGTTTCCTCACAGGGAGTCACAAGACGAAGGTTTTTCACAAATCACTTCTTATTTTCCAACACCATTCACACAATCATACCAACTACACCCTTTTCAAAGCGTTTTCAGTCCTCAAAATCATTCTTCTTTGATTAAATTTCCTCAAGAAACACTTAAAACCTCATCTATCTCAAGTTTCCAGTTTTACCCTTGTGCAAAAGTCAAATGGTGGTCCAGTTACGATCATGAAAATGGTTTGACCAAGTCAAGGTATGCTCAACCCTATAGAAATTACAATTCTGAGTCTCATGACACGTATAAACTTGAATATGGTAATTACATGCATACCCTTGGGGAACCACCGCCTCATGTTTTGTCAATAACTAATTGTGGGGAAGATAGGTTAAATTCTGAAGAGAAATTTTATAAAGAAGTTCAGGAGATTCTACTTCCAAAATTCAATGAAACTTGTGATTGGTATCTAATGGCAAAAATGAGGGGGAAAAAAACAAGTGAGGCTACTCGATTGTTGGTCAAGAAGCCCCAAATTATTGATTGTCTTATCACTGAAGGTTATATTTTGGATGCATGGATATGTGATGAGGGGCATTTAGACATGGTTTTAGGAAGGGTTTAGATCAAAACCTCGTGTGAGGTTGATCAAATCAAGGACAAGTCAGCGATATGTTTGAGGTATCAAGGAGTGTCGACTCATCTTCAAGGGCTAGTTTGGATAGTAATGGAAGCAATGAGTCATCATCTTAGGGATAAGCTCAGTTGGTGGTCAAATGGAAGTTTTTGGGCTAAGTTTTGGTATGTTGCCAACTTCAGGGGGTCCATGAAGTTTACATATGAGATTATGTATGGCCGAAAACCACTAATGGAAAGTCAGTGCATACCAAGAGGGATACGAGTCAAAGCGGGATCTGTAGTTTATATGTTGGATTTCTCTTCCTTTATCAAGATGCAACTGATCCTTCATACTTCATTGCTTACAAAAGCAATGCGTTCTCCCTTCGAACAGGTTTTGCGATCAGAACGGGAATTGAGTGCTTCGGATTGGAGGATTCCCATCATTTTTCTTGTTTCCTGTTTGATCATTCATCTAAGGGAACACGTTGACTGGTGGTTAACTTGGTGGAAAGGGCGACCGACTGAAGAGGCTACAAGGGAGGAAACATCGGCAATGAAAAATCAGGGGCGCGTGTTGTGTATCAA